TGGAGCAGCTGGGTCCATGGGCTTCACATTACAAAGAAAGATTTTTACTGGAGAAAGTAAATGGAAGGTGAGAGACCTGATGGTCAAGGACAATTATTATGGGATTGGACTACTGATAGATTCATTGGGGGTGGCTTATTGTGAATGACCATACTGTGTTACGTAGATTATGGGAGTATTCTGTTGATGTATAAGAATAAATTTCAGAAGTGGGAATATTCTGTTGATGTAAAAGAATAAATTTCAGAAGTTTTAACAATTGCTGTTGAAAACTTTTAGTAGTAGATACTTAGCAAGCTCCCTGAAAATTTTCTAAGAACTTTTTAAAATGCTAAAAATACAGACTGAAATGATACCTAGAGTAAAATTCTACTGAGGTATTATCCACCCCTTCCACTTTTCTTTTCTTGTGGAAATAAGCATATGCTATATGCATATGTATTCCAGCCAAGAGCCATGCTGAAAGCAGGCAAGAGGAAACTAGAAAAGTAGGAAATTTAAAACCCAGGCTCTGAGATGCAGTTGGTGTAGAACACTTGATATGCAATGTAATGATGATCTTTGAAAGTCTCTGCCAACCCAAAGTATTCTATGATTCTTTTAACTCAAAAGGTGTGCTACCTTGTATCAGTAGCTTATTGTTTCAGTGTGCAGTCATGTATTTGTTAGTCATCTTTTTTGGTGAATAGGCACTGTTTACCTTCTTAATTCTGCTTTTGTAGACTCCTCCTAACACTGACTGAGGAGGATTTCACCAAAGAGCCTTACAGTATAGAGAACAGTAACCATAGGAGAGCTATTATGGCAGAACTGGAATGTGTGAAAACTTTAGGTGTTAAACCACCACAAAACCTTTGGGAATATAAGGTAAATTTAATATGAATATTAATGAATTTAATATGAAGTGTGTCATGTCATGTATATTAGTTATTTTAAAGTAATACCTTTGAAAGAAGATTCTCTTAAAGCCAGGAAGAGTGTTAAAGTAGTGGAGTTACCTGTGTAAAACCTGCTCAGTTTAATGAACTGTTGAATTTGAAAAGCAACCCTTGGAAAAATGACTGTCAGAAAATCTGAGAACTGGCATGTCCTTTTAATTTTATTTTTTCACTGATTAAAACTTGATAATTTGATATATTTTAGGCCGTAAACCCAGGAAAATCACTCTTTCTTCTGTATGCACTGAAGAGTTCTCCAAGACTCAGTATGTTATACCTATATTTGTTTGATTATGCAGAAGCTTTCCTACCTTTCATCCACACAATTTGTCCTATGCAAGAAGACAAGTATGAAGATACTGTCACAAAACTGCTTGTAAGTATTTAAAACATTAAATATGCTACTTGCTTTAGTTATAACCATTTTAAGACTAGCCGCATAAAACCACATGATGTAATTACTCATCATTTCATCTCTTTACACTATGACTTTAAAAAGGACAGACCTACAGAGTAAGTAGTTCTTTGATTTTATTGTATGCAATCATCAGTGTTGCAACCATTACTTTTAATAGGATTGATTTTAGGCTTTTAAGACTTTAAATGTGTGAAACTGATTGTTCTGAAGTTCACATGACTACAGAAAGTGATATTCTAATCTAATTGAAATTACTGCATTACAGTATTACCTACTAACAAGTATAATAAAGATAAAACACTGCTTTCAGTGTATAAAACCCCCAGCTTTTCAACAAAAAACTAGTGGAAATAAGCCAGTATTAAATCAGTTTAATATAAAATTGATTAACAGTCTTTTTATCCTAATTTACAGGACCTTAAAGATCCTTCTTGGAGGCAATGGAGAGAATTCACTGTAAAGTATTTATTTTTGCCATACCAGCTGATAGCTGAATTTGCTTGGGATTGGCTAGATGTGCACTACTGGACATCAAGATTTATAATTGTAAATGCCATGTTGCTTTCTGTTCTGGAATTATTCTCCTTTTGGAGGCTCTGGTCAAGAAGAGAATTGAAGTAAGTTTAACAAAGCTTTTGGAAGAGGATAGGAAGTACACAGCCTTATAAAGAGAAAGTAACAGCCTTACAATTTCACAGCTGCTCACTGAAATGAGTGTCTAACCCAAACTCCGAGGTTGTTAACAACACGTGAATCTGCATTCCCATATTGCTTGATCTTGTATGCCTTTATTTCTGTGCGTGCTTCCAAGGGTTTCTTAGAGGTGGTTTTACTTATCAGATGTAGCAAATGTGGAGACAGTAACAAGCACATTCTTAACCACTGGCAGATATTAAACCTTGTCTTGAGAACTGCCTCTTACAGTGCCTGGTATTGTCAGCTGAGAAGTAAATACATCAGAATGTAGTCATGATACAGTAGTGTAGTTATTACAGGATAAGTCTTCATAATCGTAAGTAAGTTTAGTTATACTGATACTAGTTCTGATAATTTACCAGATTTTCTGTTTTCTGTTACTGCCTCAGTCTTAACTCAAGCATATTAACATTCATAGTTGGTGTGATCTTTGGAAATTGTATGGGAGAAATTCTTCTTTTGGTGTGTAGTGGGTTTTCCCTTTGCCAGTCAATAGAGGGCAGAATGTGCCCAGAACAGCACAGGGAACATAGGACAACCTGAGGCACAGCTGGGATGTGGCACTGGAACCTGCTGGGCTTCAGGTCTAAGTGCACTGACTTAGTGCTTCCTCTTTAAATCTGGTACTACTGGGTTTTAGGAAAGTTTTTCCTGGAGTGCAAAATGTTGTTTTTTTTTTACAGGTACCCAAGTAAGGGCTAAGTAATTTAAAGCTGTAGCACCTATTACCTTTTCTTAGAGCTGGTTAAAAACAAACCAGAAAGTTCCTCTAAGCCTTTTCCTTTCCTTTTTCACAGGACTATTCCTCACAGAATGTGGAGACATTTCTGGAAAGTCTCAACCCAGGGACTTTTTGTTGCCATTTTTTGGCCTTTTATTCCTCAGTTTGTCTGCAATTGTTTGTTTTACTGGGCCTTGTATTTTAACCCAGTTATAAACATTGATCTTGTGGTTACAGAGATAAGGCGTCTGGAGACACAAGTGCAGTGATTGGCATTGGAACTCTTGAGCTGCTTAGCTTCTAAAAATGGACATTTTGAGTAAACTTTGCTTTTCTTCTTCATGTATGTGGCAGTGAAAATGGTGGACTATGTTAATTTAAACAGGCAAAAAAGCTTTAAGGTAAGTTATTAAACTGATTCCAAGTTGGAGGATGAAGGAAAAAGGAATTTTCTGTTGATAAAAAGAAGTACATTCCTATATAGCCATGTAAAACTCTTACAGTCATCTCACCCTATTTGTATCAGATCCCTTTCTTTATTCTGTCCTGAGCATTCTGTGTATTTTCAAGCCTGCCTTAAAATCAGTGTCTTCTGCACTGCTACAGTGATCTCTTTCTTTTTCTTTTTAAACTTAGCATTTCATACCAGCAATGTGTTCCTCAACTTCAGTTTGCCAAAGGAATGCCCTGCCTGGATAGGCTTGATGTTGAAAGAATTTTATTTATTTCAGTCTTCCTTACATGCAGCATTATGACTGCCCTATACATACGCAGTCTCACAGTAGAGTTTGTTCCAAAATTCCTGCAGTTGAAGGCAAAGACTACTTGAATTCTCTTGTGTCTTGGAAAATGTGGTAATTACCACGGAAATTTTTTTTATTCAGATCAGTTAGACTTCATCAATAGCTCCTTTCATTCTCTCATCTTGAATTCTCTTGCTAATTCTTAAACGCAGGGTTATCTCTTAAAAATGATTGTTTTGGAAAAGTGACCTGACCCTGTAATTACTCATGGCAATATAATGTCTGTGTCTATATCTGTGAGCAAATATTGACTGGAAAATTATTTTGGGTAAGCAGGATTGACATTTGTTACTGTATATTCCTTTGAATCAAAAGGTAAGATTTTTTTTTTTGAGAACTTTGTCCCCTTGCATTCTGTATTTGTTGTTTTGTTAATTTCATTTGTGTCAGTAATGTGAACTAAATTTGCTATAAATATTTTTCACAATTAAAGATCTCTCTTGAAATCTTCACTATTCCTAATAGAAGTGGGTTATTTTGTTTGGGGGGTTTTTGGGGGGATTTTTTTGGTGTTTTTTGGGGTGTTTGTTTGTTTTTTGGGTTTGTTGTTGTTGTTGTTTTTTTTGGTATATTGAAATATATGTCATAAGCTTTGACTGCTCTTTAGCCCTGCATCTTTAAGTTTAGGTGAGAGAAAGTAGACATAAACCACTCCTGGCTCTATAACTGTTAAAATCAGCAGTTACAAAAAAGTGTATTATTCAGCAGTTCAGGGAACTGATTTCCCAAAGGGTTAGGTTAAAAGTATCTATGAAGTGACTATAGCTAAAACCAGCTTTACATCCTGATGAGTTGTATATACTTCTGAGCTTCATAAACTCTTACTGTGCAGGATCAAACACTTGTGGGAAAGCCAGTTGGTCCCAACAACTTCTACATTTTTTCCTGTTTTTGTTTTTGTGATGGTTTGCATTTGCGTTTTTAAATTTGGCTCTAAAGTTCTAAGGGTACTCTCTGTGCATACAGGAAATTTAGGGTGTACATAGAGTAAGGAGTTTGAGCCATATCAAATAAGCAGCTGTTTAGAAAACTCTATTTAAAAAGTAAGTGCTAGGAAAAGAAATAGTATAATAGGCCGTCTTCAATGCAGGTAAAATTACTGTAGGTGAATGAAATTCAACACTTAAATTAGGCTTTGTACTAAGTGTTTAATGTAGATGAGAGGGCTCCTTGTGCTGATACTGTCACTTCATGCACTTTTTCCAGTCAGTTCAAAGTTAAAAAATGCTACGATTTGTTAGTGGAGAAGTTTTATTTGAATCTTATAGCCAGTGGAGAGGGGGGTTAAAAAGTTCACAGCGAATGATATTATCAATCTGAAAAATCTGTGAATCTGAATATAAACAAAAATTAACACTGTCAGTTACTCCTTGAGCTGATAAACTCAGATTTCTTTTTAGTCAATAAAAGTGTATGGGAAAAGGTAAATAAGAGGAAAAATGTTTACTTTGGCAGTTTTGGGGTGGAGAGGCTGAGGTGGAATGAGGGAGTATCAAGAAAGGGGAAAATCGTTTGTTGTCATTACTGTGGCCGAAAAAAAGTCATTGTAGATTTAAATATATACAAGAGTCATGTATCTAATATCTACACAAAGGCTGAATCTCACCACACATAAAGTCTGGCCACAAAAGGTATTTTCTATGGTAGGGAGCTTTAGAAAAACACTTGGCAGCTTCACGATCACATTCACATGCCATTTTTTGACATTTATCTTCTAGTGAGTCTGAAAGAAAACACAGTAAGTTTGATATTAGTCTGAAGAAATTGAAAATCCTAAATGGAATACCAAGAATTGCTCCCTCACATTCCACATTTGCCATAAAAATGCCTTACATTTCAAGTGCATCAGGAGCTGTACTGAGCTTTGGTAAGAACCTGTGGATCAGTCAGTAATTGCCAATCTTGGCAGGTGAAAATACAGCAGCCAGATAAAGATTTAAATACTCTTCTTCCAGTTTTTAATAAAGAAACTCTGATAACTGATCTCACTTTAGAAAGCGGTATGGAACCTTCCCTGCCTTCCCTCTTGCTCTAGTGAAACTTGACTTTGGGAAGATACTCCATTCACATACCCTTTGTAATCTGCTATAGGATATAGCATTAAAAATAATACATGGGATATATACATGGCATGCAGATGTATTCCATGTCCAGTCTATAGCAGCCTAAACTGCCCACCTTTTTTTATTGAGGTGTTCAGTAAGAAGTTAGGAAAAGTGTGTTTGTGTGACAAAATCCATGTCTTGTCATGTTTGTTTTATAATTGTAGTGTTGTAACTTAACAGATTTCTTGGCATGAGTGTTCCTTCTTGGCATGAACATTTTCTTCTACAGCAATGTATTGTGGGTTCAGCGTGCCAACCCAGAAGTGTGTAGTTTTTTTCTCTCTGTAACTGTCTGTAAACTGAAGAATCCTTGATGACATTTTGCCTGAGTGTTTACCATTTTAAAAGCTTAGCCAAGTCTCTGCTTGAGATTTGTCCAGGAGCAGAACAAGTGTTCAGTTTTACAAATGAACTCAAATTCTGCCATGAAATGGAAGTGTTCTTAATGTATATGTGTTTGTGCTGCAACTAGCTGCCCTTAGAGCTACTCAATAGCACAAATGGCATGAACAACATGATAGGATAAAAAAATCAAAACATGGTAACTGAGAACTGTTCCTCCTTCTGTTCTTCTCCTGGTATGCTCCACACATTATCTTCTCCATGCTACATCAGGGACTTGGTTTCCTGACACTATGCCTGCTATCTTGGCCAGTATTTTGAATATTGTCAGGAGCAGAATCTTTACAGCCAAATAAGGGCGGACTGTAATATGATTAATCAGTTTGATTCTCAATTAATTGAGAGAGAAATCGCTTTGTACATCTGGGGCAGAATGAAAAAGAAATGAACAAGTAGAGATTCTGAATGAGGTGGACACTTGGGCAAAGTAAAGGTTGAATGTGAAGGAGGAAAGGAAGTAATGTCCAAACTTTCATTTCTTTTCAGGTCAGGCAAATTCTAAATTGAGTTATGAAATGAGAGTGTTTTGTGTTCTCTGTGAATGGCCAGCTGTTGCCTTTAAACCATGGTAGTCAGAAACTCAGACTTGTTTTAAACAAGTTTATGCAAGGGTTTTTGCATTTCTATAGTGCAAATAATAGCCAGTTCTTAAGCTCATTTGCGTTCTAGGTAGAAGTGCAAAATTATACACAAAGTAACTGACCAAGCACCTGATTTAAAAAAAAAAACAAAAACAAAAAAACCAAAACAGAAACAAAGCAAGCAACATCCCAAACAGCCAGCAAACAAACAAAATTACAAAAACATGACAATAACAACAAAAAAAAACTAGAAATACTGGGGGCTTGTGAGAAGCTGCAGTTTTAATGAGTCTTTGAGACTCATATTGGAATGTATTTGTTAAAACTTTGGGAGTTGTGAACAAATAATGTAAAAGAAAAGCTGCTTTCCATTAACCATTTTTTGAGGCTTTTCTTTCTTGGTGATCTCTTTGTCCTTCCCTTACCTCAGCATGGCAAATATATTTTGAAGCAATCAAACAAAATTTATCAGGATGTGGTCAGCAATCTGTACACTTGTCATGTAAATATTTTCAAATTAATATTTTTTAATTTAACTTCCAGAAATACACATACTCATCAAATATTTTATTACCTCATTGTTTGAAACTGTAAACTGTAATTGTGAATTCATTCATAAATTTCAGCCATCACTGCAATTGCTCAGGGATAAATATGCCAAAACCTTGTCCATTATAAACTTACAAATAGTGGAAAATATTTTCAACTAAGTAGGGAAAAGATCCTTTTAAACTGTTACAATTGTCTTCTGTTTGGGTTCCTCAGCAGATGTAAACATTGAGTAAAAGGAGGATGGTTGTGGTTGTGTTTTCTGAAAAGGTAATAGATACTTCTAGATCACAGTTTTGTTTGCTTATGTCAGTCAGTAGGGGAGGATTAAGAAGAAACTGCATTCAGTTGATCAGTTTAGCTGTGCTATCTGGAGGCACAGTGTATCCTGGCAATAAAACTTATAAAAGGAATGATGGTAAACTAAGAGTTTTACAGTTAAGAAAATACCTTTCTAATGAGGTAATTAGTAGAAGTAAGAAACAACCAAACCAAATAACCCAGCTCCAAAACCCAACACCAAAAAACTCCCAAGTGCTCACTCACCACACACAGCAGAATTGTCTTTGCATTCCCAGTGGTAACTTTCAGTCTTTGGTTGACAACCCGCTTGTTCTGCCCTCCCATAGCAGCAGTCGTGGTGAAAGCAGCACCTGAGAGGAGCAGAAATGGTGATTTATGGTCACACAATCTGGGTGGGGTTTATCAATGGGTTACTACAGCTGTGACAAAAGGGTCAGTATCAGTGAGTGTACAAATATTACCTGCCCAGGAACCAAACCAGGGTAATTGGAAAAAATTACTACTTTTTCATGTAATAAGTGATGAGAAAAATGTCTGATATACATTGAGCTAATTGAATCTTCAGGGCATTCACAATTATATGAGAATTTATATTATATTATAAAGCGTGAGTATGCTTTTCTCCTAACACCTTCCACAATATCAACTGTTAGCTCATCATCAGAAAATTTGGAAAGTTGCTCAAAATTATTGTTTCAAAATTGTTCGTCATAGTTGGCACAAAGAATTTATAGTCTTTCTATGACATTGTGAAACTGAGCAGTACAGGTAAGAATTAATGAGATTTTAATGTTAAAAAAAGGCATTAAAATATGCTGCTGTAGTGTGTCTGGTGTGGAGTCATTGCAAGCCCAGAAAACCAAGTAGAGGAGGCAACAAGGACCTGAAATTTGGCAACTTGTAAGTTTTTGCTGCAAACTAATTACACCCTTCCTTTCTGACTTTGCTGGAAGAACTGGTTGTGTCCACCAAGTACTCAGTCATTATTCATTTATTTCATTCCTTCATTTATTGGTTCAGTTTCCTCCTGGTAGACTAAAACCATCAGATAGGTAGGTGTTTAGGTTGTCTGAGGAATTTGTCTGCAATAGGAAAAGTTAATGCTGTGAGCTCTCACTTTGCAATTACTGTTTTTCCTGTGCTTATTAAGTGATTACTTGGTCATTCCCCACAGATCACTGTGTAAAGATCCTGTGGTACTTAACAGTTGAACAACACAGCTCAGTAACTCCCTTTCATGAATATAAATTTTTTAAAAAACCCAAACCACACAACAACAACAAAACAAAACCAGAACAAAACCCAGACAATCATCTTCTTGTCAGTTAATGTACAATTACAAATTACATTGATAATAGTATGCTGAAATTTAGTACTAAATGGAAAGGTTTGGTTTTTAGAATTTTTACTAGGTTGAATTTTGAGTAATTCTTATGTATTATTTTGAATATTAATAACATGGAATATAGTAAAATCAAAATATTTTTATTTGCCTCTGTTTTTTAATTTTTTAGTTTTTTAATTTTTAATTTAGATAGCTTCAATGCTTGAACTTTAAAGCTTCTCCAACAAGTCTTTATTTAACGCTTTGCTAAATAGTGATAGCAAAGAAACTCAGTTGTGCTGTGAATCCTGTACTAATGCAATGAGAATTTGAATTAAAGGCAAGCTCCTGTAGATCTACAGAAACACAATTTGAATGTTTCAGAGTTTCCTAGCAATCTGAGGTGTATTTAAACTTAGTTCCTTCTCTCAAATAGGCCTAATTTCTATTTTAGTCCTTTTATTCATCATCTGCATTCAGCATTTAATTAATTGTCAGATAAATCATTACTCTCACCAGTCTACTCTGTCCTTGGGCCATCCTTTTCCTCCCAGGCCACAGTAGCATCCATAGCGGAGGTACGCAAAAGGAGAGCGCCCTGTGGTGCATTTGATGGCTCCAGCTAATTCCAGAATTCCTCTTCGATTTCTCAAATGGGCTTCCCCAAAAGTGCCTTTATAAACTGTGGAAGAAAAACTACTGTTGAATCCAACATGCAAATATAAAATAGTTCAGATTGTTTGGGTTTTTTAAAGCATTGATAATAAATTACAGGACTTGAAAATAGTCCAGTTTTATTTTTGACACTTTGGGGCCACGCTGCTTGACCCAGTCCCTTTGTCCCCAGTTCATAGTGAGCAGAATCCTGAACATTGAGAACAGCTGCAGTGCTTTCCTCCCATGGAGGCAGTGTACAATGGCAGACTAGTCATTTCCAGTCTTCCAACTGGTGAGGGCCAGCATGTGTTCTGTGGCCCTGACCCACCCAGTTGCTAAGATTAGCTGCCCCAGGGTTGCAGTGTTTTCTTTTTAACATAACATGCAATTTTGCCCATGTTATTTTGTAGAATGTAGTGCTTTACATTGGAACAAATAGGTCCTTTATGATAGGGTTTTGGTTTTCCTCATTTTTAGACAAAGTAGCCAAATAACTGGTGGGGATGGTGTGGTGGATATAAGGCAAGGAAATGGGTGGGTGCTTGGAATCTTTTTCAGGGAAATTAGAAAGGTGGGGTTTGGTTATTTTCCTGTTTACTTTTGTTTGGGGTTGCTGTTTAAGTGATTCTCACTACTATTTCTCCTGAACACAACTTACTTAAGGTACTGTATTTTAACCATCCCATATCAGTACTAAAGCAAGAGTTTTGAAGCACCAGAAAACTGAGACTCTGGGTGACATTTTTAGGGGTTCATGTCATCCTGAGAGGTTGAACTAACACACTGAAGATCCTGATGGTAATGGGCAGCCTCTCCTTGCAGTGCAGGCTCCAAGTTATTCACAGCAAATTTTAAAAAGCTGAATGACTAGAAAACAAATTAGTTTTAGAAGGCTTCTTATTAATTAAACTAATTACTTATTTTGGTATGAGGAGAAGAGTTTATAAAGCTAAACTTCAGTACTGGTCACAGATTCCAAAAGACATTAAGATTTAATAACTGATAATACCTGTGATGGAGACAGACAGCAGAAAAAAATACTTAGTTGTTAAAGACTTTGATAGTTACTTTCCTACAAAATAACTACATAATTATGCAGTTTTTATATAATCTGCGTAATCACATAATCTATTATAATGGCACAATAGAGTAATCTTTTGTAATAGATTATATCATAACAGATTATATGATTAATCAGTTAATGAAAAATCTGACAGAAAAAATACCGGTCCCAGCACAGTTGAGTAACTTGAAATGTGTGGGATGCTGGTGATCTCTGGCACTTGTAATGTCAAGAAACAATAGAATTTAAGCACCTCATGAAATCACCTTAGTAAGAAATTCAATTGGTTTGTGTGTGAAAACAGTAAAAAAACACTTAGGAAGAGTCCTGAGGCAGCAGTTAGTGCTTTCCTGACTCCCATATCTTGTCCCTCGTGCTTTTTGGGCATGTGATCTAGGGGCAGAAGTGTTGAAACAAGGGTGTTTAAACTTGCACATGCAGCTTTGGCTGTTGATTAAAAGCAATCATATCCTGAGGAATTAAGAAAAGCTTCCTTGCTATGTAGTCGATTGCAGTTTCATTTCAAAACTGCTGAGTTGCCACTAAACTTCCTTGCTAAGACAGTGAACAGTATCTGTTGTGCATGGCTCCTGTTCCAGACCATTACCTGTATGCTTAGTGTGAAATATTAGTTCTGGGTAGCAGAAGCATCCATTTGATAATAAACAGATTAACCTTATGATAGACTGAAAGTGTTATCTTTATTGTCAGTACAAGTTCAGTATATTCTGAGCTGAAAACCCTGCAATAAAGCTGCAGCATTACAAGTGACAACTGGTTATGCTCTTCAGTATTTAGTAATGGTTACTCTTTTAGACAGCCAGTAGTGTCTGGAGGAACCATGGTTAATGGCAAAGCTGGGTTTGCTCTGCATGACCTTGGGGATTCTGAAAAAAGTGAAGAATTTTTACATTGTGTCTCAGTTCTTGGCAACTGGGGAAGGATGGTGTAGGAGAGATAAAAGTCAGGAAGAAGAAAATAAGAAATTTCAAGTCATGTTCCTGGTTTCATCAGAGAATTGTTTGCTAACTTGGGACAATTCCCAGTCCCTTGATTTAAATCCATGACAAGTAGAAGTGATGAACTGACTGGTACCTGAGGACCTCAAGTAAAATATGCCACATGTCTTAAAGAAAAGGACATAAACCTTTTGTCCTTGTAATATATTTGTATTACAGGATCTGGACATCCAATTGTAAACCAGCACAGCATAGATACTCTCAATATGATAGTCTGTCACAACAGCTTCATGAGCTGAGTTAATGCAAGCAATGAAATACCATTTGAGAATGCACAGAACTATGGAAACAATCAGAGTATCAATATGTTGATAATGATGATGATAACATCAGTATGTTTGCCATATAACAAAATCTCCAAAGTGTTTTATCAAATATGTTGTGGAATACAGTTAGAGAGTAAGTTGATATTCTGCATATTTCCAAATATTTTATGATTAAGGTTTTGAAATCTTCTGTGGTTTTTTTTTTGTTTTATGAAGACTTTGTGACTGAGAGTTTGATTATGCACTCCTGAGTTGTCCCTCAATATCTAGTTGGATTTTTGGATTTTGTCATGCAGATTGTGTGCATGCACCTTGTAGGTAGAGAAAAAGGGAGTGAGCCAGATTGTATATATTTTAAATTAATTGCTTTATAAGGTATAGAAAAAAAGAACTGTATGCCTTATAGAAACCTTAGATTTTGCTTAGATTTTTACTACTTGTTTCATAAGCCATCAGGAATGGCCTTTTTCACCTCATTTTACTGCCCAGACAACTTACATGCTATCTCCAAAAATTCTGGTCACATGTAAATTTTTTAAAAGGTTAAATTTGCCCTTTTTGGTACTTTGGACCAATTGGGAAACAGGTGAATTGCATTTCCCGTGCTCCTCACTGCCCACGGAGTGAGTGACTGAGGTGCCTGACTCAGCTATCAGAGCGCAGCCAGGCTCTCTGTAATGAGCACTCAAAGCTGGCAGAAGCAGTGATTTCATTGCTTTCCTTAATGTTCTTGCTGAGGTTTGTGCCATGCAAAGGATAAAGTCTGGAGGATGATCAAAATGCAGAAGGAATCATAGGGGCAATCTGAAGTCACGAAGTAGAACTGGGGCAGGGAGCTTGGTGGGGCCCTAATTGGCCCCATTATGCAAGCACCTTACCTTATGGGCTTTAATCACACAACTGCCTCCCCCCAGACCCTGCTCCATTCTGTGCCCAGAGTCTGTTCTAGCAATGAATTGAGGCTCTTCTCTTAGGATCCTGCTATTTGCTATTTGCAAGATTTGGTGTGGTGGTGAATTTGCAAGCTGTGTAGAAATGAATAAAAAAATACTGCAAGAGAATCTTTTACTTAAGGATTTTATCCTTACAGCAGTCACAAAGGTTCAGCATGAGGTTAATTTAATCACTGTAAAACAATGCCTGTTGATGTTTACAAATAGTAGGCTCTCAGCCCGCTGAATATCCTGGGGTTGGAGTACCAATCTGCCACAGCATTCAGCAAGAACCAGGCTTTGAGCAGTTGAAGTTCCACGTAATTCTACATAGAATAGGTTGTAGGTAAAATTGGGTTCCACCATGTCCCCAGGGGAACCTTAAGTCAGAGGATGTGTTTTTGTGTCAGCCCACCTACCTATCTGAAAAAGAGGGATGATAATATAGTTTCAGAGAAATGAGTACAATCAGATACTGTACTGATGAATACCTCAGAAAACCTACGAGGAAATGGACCGTGAATTGTTACAACTGGTCTTTAACACTGATTAATAAATAGGATGTAGGAGACCAAAAAAAAATAATTAAATATTTGCAAAGTGAGTAATTGGCTGTGCAAAGGTGTGAGGCAGGGGTCCTTTAATTATATTCTCACATTATAACTCATTCATGAAGAACTGATTCATTTTTCAGAATAACCCAGTTAGGGTTTTGTAGGCAGTCTCAGTTCTACCAATTAATTCCTGCTTCTGAACTGCTTAGTAACTCAAGAGCTCTGCGACAACTCACTCCAGTACCCGGAGAAGAGTGGGAGTAAAGCTACTGGCCTTATAGAAATATTGTTATTGAACGTGCAAGCTGCAAACTGATTTGAAGCACGGAAAAGTTCTTGGTTAGCAGAGTTGCACATTACTGACGAACTTTACAGAAGTAACGTGCGCCCTTCCAGCCCCGCTCCCGTGGGCAGTCCCCGGCTGTCAGGGCAGCTCCGGCCGCCGCTGGCAGCGGCAATCGGGGCTTCCCGTGGGCGAGTCCCACCCAGCTGTGCCCGAGTGCTGGCCACCTGTCACAGGGACTGTTCTCCGTCGTGGGAAGACAGGCACTTCCCGTCACTGTTTCTCCTAAGACTCCTTTCTCTACCCCTCTTCCCACCTGCCCCCCGATGCTGCCAAGCCCCATCCCACCGGGTCCGAGCCCGCGGAGGAGCCGCTGGATGGGGCGGCTTCCCTGCCGGGAAGGACCGTGTGGATGCCGATCCCCGGCCCGGGGCTCTGCTCTACTCACCGACCACCGGCAGCAGCAGCAGCAGCAGCAGCAGCAGAGGGGGCAGCGGTGCCATGGGCAGCGGCGGGCGGGGGTACGGGTCCCAGCAGCGGCGTGTACTCGGCAGCGGAGCGTGTACGTGTGAGCCGCAGCGGCGGCGTGCCAGCTATAACAGGCTGCTTTCTGCCCCGAGCCGGGTCCCCCGGAGCCGGAGCCCAAGTCCAAGCTGTGCTGTCCATCTGGCCAGAAGGGAGGAGCTGCCGCTGGAAGAGCCGGCGAGAGCTGGGACCTGTCACTCGGGCAGCGGAGCGCGGTGCAGGCACAAGGAGTCACACCCCGCAGGTCTGGGATGGGGCCGCCTCTCCGCTCCTCCACACCTTTCTGCTCTGGTAGCTATATTTTCTTTTTGAATTACAGCAGTAATTTTATCTAGATCTGAAGAGGAAAGTAGGAACTGTGTTGTAAGTTAGTCTAGTGGTTAATTATAACCAGTGCTGAAGACGTGCTCTATCTGGAGTCTGCATCAGCCAGACTTCATCTACTGATTACTCCTTTCCTTGGATGACTAAAGAACAACCAACTCATAAACTGGTTACGAATATTTGTAGGTTGATAAAAACTTTTTAATTGTACCTCAAACAAAATAGACTCTTAAAGTGAGTATTTTTTGTACATTGTATTATATTTGCTTATTTTTCCGTTCCCTTTCCAACCTTTGCATTATTTTGTAAAACATATTACTAGGTATCACAGTCAGTTTCATTGCCTCTCTCCACACACAGACAATACCACTTGTTTTTATGTGATTTCTTCTGTGTTCATACTTTCCAAGTATTTCTTCAGACATTTTACTATTGCACTGAAACCAGTGCATTTCCTGTCAGTTGTTTAAGCAATCAGGAGCCCTGAAATTCAGAGTATTGATTTTGTGTGCATGTGTTTTGTCTTGTGGTGTACATACTATTTTTATTTTTTTTTTGCATTATTATATTCCAGGATATTACCCCCATAGGATCCCACTGAGGCCTACACTGCTAGGATATGAAAAGAGAAATAAAACTAGTTTTATTTATGGCACTTACCAATAATTTTTTCTTGGTCATGTCATCTATTGGAGAGCAGCTGGTAGCTTGGTGGGGGGTTTTTGTGAATGGTATTTTCATCAAAGAAATAAAATTGTTTTTTCATGCACGTACTGAGGGATAATTCTATTTTTTGCATTAAAATGCTCTGATTTCTGTTTTATAACATTCCTCTTTATTCAGGAGAGGTGGAAAATCATATGTGATGTGATTCCAAGAGACAAAAAGCATGCACAAACAGATCAGATTTGTTTTTGTTATGCTCTCATTAATCCAGGCTCTCTGAAATGTTTGTGTTGGCACTGAGGTGAGGGTAGCGTGGGATAAATGTGGAACATTGATCGGAGGCAGGATATTGATAAACAATTGTACACCTGGTGGGCCTTTGTGCAACCACGTGCGGAACACCAGGCGAGGTGTGGCAGCTCAGCCAGGACTGTGCATGGCCCCTGGCAAGGCAGAGGGTGACAGTGTGAACTCCACACAGCAGAAGCAGGGTTCCCACCCAAGTGCTGGTGCTCTGCAGAGAACGGAAGGTTGCTGGAGGCTGCCTGTGAAGCCCCGATGCCTGGCAGATCTGTACCAAGCAGCTGCAGGTGCTGGGACAATGCTGCCAGCCCATCCTTCTTCCACCCCTGCGCCTGGCTCTGGACAACATGGGGAGCACACCTGCCACTGTGTCCTAACACATCTGGAGTGGAATATGAGTGAAGTGGGTTGTATGGCAATCAGAAAGGTTGCTCATGACCCTTATAAGTGTTGGTAGAAAACCCATATGGGGAAATTTTTTTAATTTTTTTTTTTTAAGATTTCGTTGCTATTGCCATCAACTGGGTCATGGCAATTTTCCTATTACTCATGGAGTCACATCGCTAATTACTGTTACTCTGGTCTCGTACTGTCACTTATACTTCATTTGTTTACCGACTCTTCCGCTCAATAAGTCACACCTATTAGAACACTTTAATGGTGTCCGAGAGCTGCTTAATGAAACTTCCAGTTGAACACTATCCCATCCAGCATACCATTGCATATGACAATGAAAACAGTATCTAAGGGAGCAAGGTGAATTACATTTCATGCTGTACTTCAGGAGGGTGACTGATGCAATGCGTTAGTGCAGCTGATATATTTTTGTCTGAAGAAAGTATAACCTTATAACCACTGAAAAATCAAATGAGACTGAAATCAGACTACAGCTGCTTCAATCAGAAAGTACACAAAGATGTGTAGGGACAGAAACTGTATACAGTGATGAAGTAAGGAATGCAAGTCATGAGTTCTGAGCCCTATGAGTATAGTAAAAGTTCAAAGGAGAACATCCAGTGAAATTGGTGAGAGGAGGGGAAACCTGATAGAAGGAAATACGTTTATTGAGGCAGAGCTAGATTGTCCAGTTAATTGCCAGGCATATGGCTAAGAAAATATACTAGTAACAGACTGGGAGTTCATATGGATTACAATGACAGAATAATGTTTTTTAAAATTATATTTAGTTCCCTTTAAATTTCTTAATTAAAAACTTATGTGGCAGTGTAGACCTGTCATATTTCTTTTTGTAGTGTTTCTTTTCTTCTATTGGAAGCACTTGGAAACTGGCCTAAGTCATATGTGACAAATAGCATTTTCCCTCTTACTGATGAATTCTTTTTGACTGTCAACTGGAGCTGTGCAGGGGTGGGGAGAAGCATTTGCTTTTCAAATATACTTTCTCAAACAAGGCTGCATGTGCCTTATGATTACTTTGTTTTTAAGTCTGAGAAATAGATTAATATAATTGAGACACATGGCTGTACTGAGGAACATTCTCACAGCATAACACTGCTATTGGTAAACTTGTTAAATGAGTTCTAAAAGCCTCATTTCTCAGGGTCCAGGATTATGTACATGCAGGAAAACAACAGAATATAATAACCCAAAATGGTAAAATGTTTATGGAAAGTGCTAGAATGGCTTAAAATATAGTTAACGTAAGTGCAAGTTATCCACTACCCTGTGATCAGGTGAAGATAGTGATCGTACAAAAAGTGTAACAGTAGATTTCCTGCTGACTTAACAGCTGAAAAACTGCATTTTTGTAGTAATAATAGTTCCGTTATTTTTTTTTATTTCATAAGAACAGTTATTCTTCTTGAGAAATGAAAAAGCATAGCACCTACCTTAGTCAAATTTATATATACTCTGCATTTAGTTGTTGTGAACCAATGTAGTGTTGCTGCTGCTGAGTACAGAAGTACTAGGGTCTGTAGGTGTCTAAGCAAAGTGCTAAAATATGCCTACAGCATTAAGCATGTGGCATTTAAGCCACAGGACATACTCACTGCCCCACTGAATTAATGAACTAATAAAGAATGGTGAAAGAAATTATTTTCCCATTGTTAGAGATGGGAATGGAGGCAGGCTGATTTGCTTAAGGTGCTTTATGATGGCTGTAGCAGAGCTGGGAAACAGGAATTTGATGTTTTGCATCCCAGGTTAAGTCCCAGATTAGGTTCTTCTGTGACACTGTCTCCTGGAGGAAAATAAGGAAAGAAGCACATGCCTTACTCTGAGGGTATCAGAATAATTAGAACTGAAGAGTTACTTCCCAGCAGTTAAGTCAAATAACTGCATTTACTTGTTGCTATACTTGGTAAATGTCTCCGAGTTACCCCATGTCTTCTTAAACATTGGACTGGGACAGAGATTCTGCCTGGAATGTATTCTTTACAAGTGTGTGTTCCTTCAGACACTAAGTGTCCACATAGTATGTAACTTTTTTATAATTTTTGTCTTCATAAAAATACCAAACCAAACAGCCTTAATTATCTGAGTATTTGTTTGGAAATATTCAGTGCCTTTGTTCCCATTTTTGGAGCTTTGGCTGGGTTTCCTCACTTTCATGTCCTTCCATCTTCTCTTAGTTCCTTTTCACAACCAATGCTTCCTGTTTATCAATGTTTTCTTCAGCTAATGTTGTAGATGTTGTCCCAAATTGTAAAGGAGTTATAAACACAAGTTTAGAGAGACAAGCTCCATGTGGAAGATTACAAAACATTCTGCTAAGCCATTTTATAGTATTTAGCAATGTACATGTATTATCTCAGATCCAGTTCTAGCATACACAACAAAATCCAACTTTAAAACTACACCAGCCTCTGGCATAACTTGTAATGTCTCTGGTAATACTAAGTCTCTGAGTAGCACAATATGCCCCAAGAGAATTTTGGGGATTGTGTCTGTAGTGTCCTTTCCATGCCCTTTGGCAGCAATGTTACTCTGTTCATGCTGCAAAAACACCATGTAGTGTGTCACTGCCCGTAACAGACAGTTTTGTGCTGGAAAGGTTATTATTGAAATGTTCTTGAAACTGCAATAATGTCTGCAGAGGAGCTGAATTACTCCTACAGTTTTCTTCTCCCATCCTTTTAGTTCTGGTTTTTTCCTGATCCCCATTCTCCCCTCTGCTCCTTTAGCACAAGAGCTGCTGGCACAGAGTCCATTCTGTCCATACCACCACCCAGGCAAGTAACAAGACTGCAAGAACTTCTCCAGAGTACCACGTATTTACCGATGCAGTTCTGTCCATTTTTATGGCATTGAAATACATTGCCTGTCTTGAGCAAAGGCACACACTGGAGATGCTAGGGAAGGACTCTATATATAATTTCCGGCTTGCTTAGCTCTTCGGTTCTGACAGTCATCTCTGCCTTTCAGAAGATTTGCACTAAGTCAAATTCTACGTTCGGCATTTGCATCCAAAAAAAGACTCGTGACCTGCTTCTTGTGGAATTCAGGGCTACTTCTTATTTTATATCTTGAGAAAAAAAGAGACTTGGCAATGCAATGTGAGTGTGTTTCTAAAGCAAAATTTGAAGTCTCCAGCATATCTCTGGAAGGATATTTGACTTGTGTTCTTTATATAGGTTACATCAACATGGACTCTTGAAATGGCTGATGTAATGACCAGGATGATGGGATAGAGTGACCTCTCAGCACATTTGTGGGTGATACCAAATTGGGGGGAGTGGCTGATACACTAAAAGGCAGGGCTGC